GCTGCTCAAGTGTTATGAAGATTAAGTTAACTTTGAATCGAAATGTTTTTGATTGCACGGTATAATTACAATAAGTTAACATTATTAGTAACTATTCAAAGGCGTGGACAGAAATAATAAAAAAGAAATTAATTCAAAGATTCAGATTACTTCGACTGTCAAAGAAAGTGTTGCTGTGATGTCAACTATATCGGATCTTTACATTGACCGTGGAATTGTTATTTTTCTAATCATAAGAAATGCATACTTTTGTAGACATCACAAATAGTAACACTGTTCCAATCCGATTTGTTCAACCTGTTGAACAGTCAACGATTTGCGGTAAAGTTTTTTCCTCCATGAATTAATTAATAAGTAAGTGACTGTCAATAATGGTTGTTGAGCATAAAATACTAAAATATTCGTAATTTCCTTATTTATATCAGTGACTTCAATATTTCGCACAAAGGTATTGCTGCCTATCAAGGAAATAAAAACGTATACGAAATAAAATTGGAAAATGATAAAAAAAAAGATTTTGAAAGTCTTGACTCCACTGCGTGCTGACTGCTCTTTGTTATGATGCCAACATCTCAAGCAAGTTTGCCTAAACGTGAACAAATTGCCCGAAATAAGAAAACCATCCGATCCAAAGCCAGTGGAGAAGTAGTTACGTAACAAATCGATTAGTTCTGTTGGCCTCGGATGCAAAAACCGTCCGTTCCAGTACGTAATCCTGCGAAATTTAACAGTTAACATCCCAAAAGTCGATGCAAATATCGTTTGATCAAGCCACATCGATCACAACGAAGACCACCACGACCCGAAGACCTTGAAAAAAGATACACCCCGAGCTAGCCGTTCGTCATAAAAAGTGTAGACAGCGAGATCAAACCTGCCGCACACAATTATGAACGTCAATATATCCAGAAATTGACAACAAATTATGGTCCTTTGTGTCGGCCGATCGTCCATCATCAATTAAACAGGAAAGCCAGTTTTTCAAGACTGGTAGCATAAGCAGTTATGATTTGATGTGCACTACACGGTTAGCTGTCGAAGAGGCATTCTCACGGGCTTTTTACCTGACAGTTCGGCATCTTCCAGATGACAAACGCAATTAGAGCAATGCGTGATTTTTGGAAGTACTGAGGAGCGTGGAGTTTTCAGCTGGGGCCAATTCGACTCCGAAGCGGTTCGTTTGAACTCACAGCGCGGTTGAAGTATTTCAATTTTCCAAATACTTCGCAGTCCGCGACACAAATAAACTCACTCAAATTGCCATAATAAGAACAAATTACGCACAATTTATAGGGCAATAATATTTATAATTCTCTGCACAAAAACCCAGTAATTGTACCGTGGATTATATGGGCTCGCTTAAAGAAGCCGTCGGAATATTATAGCTCATAAGGTAAAATTATTGAAACCGACATGTCGTTAAGACGCACTTTGTTGATATTGTCTGTGAAAATGACGCGGGAGCAAATAAACACTTGACCACACTACTACATTCTACATCATCTTTTTACATATTTGTAAATAAATAAAAATAAACCCAGCCTGTCGATGACCGTTTAAATGCTACTAATTTCGCTAACTACCGTAGATTTTTATTTAAAATGATTCTAAAACAGCCTCACGAAATAGTTTTATCAAATCGACTTCGCTCTCGATTTCGCGGAATACCTTACAACCTGAATGATCCCATCATCCAACGGTTGTCAAAAGTAAAAGTGTTGAACTTGTCGCCGTTGTTCCATTTTTAATTCGAAATTCCGAGAACCTCAACGAAAACCTCGTAGCAAAAAACCGCGTTAACATTTTAAAATTAACATTCCCGCCAAAAACGAATAAAAGCTTGTATGTTGACTCTTTTGTATAACTTAGTAAAGCTTGCTACAGAAACAGTGATTAAAAGCGACCCCCCGTTTGCGTTGTTCAACAAAGCTAAGGCCATGAACAAACTACTAAATTGAAAGCTCCTCCTTTATGAACGCTTAAAGCCATAAATTATTTCAATTGCACTATTTCGGTGACTGTAGGTTCATAGAATTTGCACGTTTAGTCACGCCGTATGGAAGGCCGTTTACTGAAAAGAGTTACCTCAGTGAGATGAATGATTGTTGTCATTTAATTGTAAAAGAAATGGCATTTGAGAAATTTCGGTCTCCAAATTTTACCCTGTAAAATACGGACAAGAGCAACCCCAAATATTTGTTTATCTGGTACAATATGATTATATCCTTTATATAGCTTGATTAAGTGTCTATGTTGCAATTAAAAATACAAATTTGTTGACTGCATGAAACCGTAATTTACATAATTAAATAGGAAGATTTTTGCATGCAGGTATTTAATCGGCTGTATATAATCATGTTTGAAATAATTAATGCACATTCCATTCAGTGTTCCGTAGTTGTAATTCAATAGTCAAAACTGCTTTAAACTACCCGATGCATCGAAATTTTTGTCGTGTTAAAAATTTTTTATAATCTGGCTAATGCAGATTTATGTAACCCCATTCAGACAATTAAAATTATTGTTTAACGGTCAAAATACTATAGCGGATCTTAAAAATAAAATTTTATAGATCAGATATTGGTACTGCGAGTTTTGAGCAATATACATAACTATAAGAGAGAATAAAATACATATACCCGTAGTGAATTTTGTAAATATTAATTTGTTAGGTTGGAATAAATTGTCAGTCGAAATTGGTTGCTTTATTTAGTACATACTTATATTGATTTTGTTAAAATATCAAACCTCAAATTTATCCATTATCAAGCTTCATTCATATTCGTGGATGTTATTATAATGGGGTTTCTAAAATTATGGTTTGATATATTTTACAACTAACTGAATTTCATCATTATCCCGATTCCTTGATATCATGTTTATTTTCAGGGATTTAAGATTTCTAGTTTCTATTTTTTTTTTCTATTTGTTGAGAGGAGATGGAACTACATATACTGATTTATTTTGATTTGCTGGCGAATGTGAACTTTTAGTTGCGTATGATAAAAATGTTTTTCTTAACAGCTTATTAGTGATTTCAATTAAGGATGACGAATGATTAAATTAGACCAGTAAATCTCAATTACTGAGCATGTGTACAACTAACTTTTAGGTAATGAAATCCCGGCTTACGCCAAAAACGAGCTTCCTATTTAACGCAAAGCCTATTCTTTTGTTATTTCGATTTCTAAAGATAATAAATTTATTTGTATAACAAAAAAGATCAATTAGATGCTACATAAAATGAAAGGTATTTTAATTTACGAACACGTTACTATTGATAATTAAGGAACACCAAGACAATAATTCAAAACATAAATAAGAAACAAGACGCTCTAAAAAAAATCAATATATTTTTTAAGTGAAGAAAATTGTATTCATTTTCTCTTAATTTAGTGACTTATTTTACGTTTTTTAAATTCAAACACAGACTTCTGATAGTTAAAACTTACAAAAAATAACCAAATACCTATGTAATTTTTTTGGACACATGCTTATATTACTTGAATTTTCTTTTTACCCAAAATGTGTGCATCACAAGTTGGTTAATTATTTTATTCTAGTTTTAAAACAGGTAAGATAAGACGTAATAATTAGTAAATTCAGGAATAACAAATTTTGACTTTTTAAACAAACTGAGTCTAAATACGAATGCTAAAGTGCAAGAACTAAACCACTTAAACATTTACCTACACACTTTGCCAAAATAAGGTTACAAAAAATTCTGAAATTCAGTATCCATTTTAACATTGAGTGCAAAAATAAAGTGTTAATTTCTTATTATTTACATTTTAAAATTTTTACATACATACCCTTAGCATCAGACATTTCTCGGGTATTAATTTTTTACGAAATTTATAAATGGGAATTTCCATACATCTGCGTTTGATATATATGTTTTTTATTTTGAAATTACAAATTTGTAGAAAATATATTAATTGTAACTCAATTACTTAAATAACTTCGTGTCCACAGTAAAATCCGACTGGTAGCTAAATTAATTTTGCAAGTCTGATCTATATTTCTTATCCTAAATGTAGGTATATAGGTATTCATAAAAATTCAAATCAAAATTAAGGATTTCCTGTATTATTTTAACATAAACCGGCAAATTCTCAACGGCATTATATTTACATTAGTATTCAATATCTTAAACATAAATTCTGCAAAGCATTTACAAAATTTCCAACAGCAATGGTAAACAGATTTCAAAATATTTAGACGGTTCCATTCTTTTTAGCGACTCTGTCTGCGTATCATGTTTAAAAAAGCAATTTATTTGAACACTTCAGCGTATGTGAGTACATAGGTATAGTGTTAATAAAGCCGTTAGGAATAAATTACATTCAGTAAAAATATTTAAATATGAATGTCACTTGCCACTTCGAGGTGATAACAAAAAGTGTGTGAAGTATTCGTATATCATGCATTCCTTGAACACAAACTTATAAGGTGTTCAATTTATTTGGAAGTGCAGCAACTTTATAAAAAAATAGAGATCTTAAATTTTCACTTTTTATTATGGACATTAGTACCTGCAAGTCGTAAAATGTGTCGCCACCAAAAAGATCGGATCTTTATGGAGATCTAATCGTCTCGTATGAAATTAATAAAATTCAGATTTGCCGCTATGATTTCATCTAACAATATAATTTTCATAAAAGCAGACATTATCAGTGTACGTAAATCAAAAAATTTGCATTTTCGTATCGGCGACGTAAATTTTTTATGCAGTGTCTTCGTAAAATTTATGGTAATAAAGCTTCCGCGTTGAACGTACACTAGGCATAGCTAGGTCTGCGAGCCCGGATCGGTTCCGGAGCGCGGTCCAGGTGGTTGGATCGGCTGAATGTTATCAGAGATCGTCGCTACGAGAGTATTACATTACATCTGGTTTTCGATAAATGCCGCTAATCGTGGTCATAATTCGCGTGTTTATCGTGGCCGTCGGTCACGAGAGGCAGATTTCCAGAGCGTAGTCACAACAAAGTGTGACTTACCGAGGACTGGAGCGGCCGCAGGAAACGCCGGTGCGTCGTCGTCCTCCAGGAGGCGGATGGGCCTCGCCTGCTTCCTGCGAGACATCACAATCACAGTTCACAGTCACCAGTTTACACCTAACTACAAGAAGCACTCATCTCGGAATATGAAGTTATGATGTGGCCGTGATTGGTGCAGGTGCCGTACGAACTCGTCGGCGCCGCGATGCTGTCTGTTACGGCGCCGCGCCGAGGTGGGGGCCTGATAAGGGCGGCGCGTCGAACTACCCTCGGCAAGGGTCGGTTCGCGTCGACGAGCGCTCGCGCAGCGTCTTCTCGGACACTACGACATTCCTGAGGGCGCACGAGGTGGAGACGTCGTCGCTTGTCCTCTGGTGCGTCGCGGCGGCGGCGGCGGCGGCGGTTGTGACAGCTTAGCGCCTGCAGCGTTACCGACTGACAGGACCAGCAGCCGACTCGGCGAGCGGCAATTGACTAAGTGACTGTCTCGGCCTGCCCCACGAAGACCCGCCCACCGCTCTTACCTGGGGAGTGGGGCAGGTTGTTCATCTACTCATTCAACGCACCGACGAGTCCGACACTGATTCATAAATCACGGATGATATTGCGTGGAGCTTGAAGAGCTTCGAGTGCACTGGACTACGCCGAAGAAGACGTACGGGATAAGATAATGGTGGTACATACAGCGATCTTTAAATCCTTTCGTGAAACATACAAAAATACTTCAAAACACACTCAAAGAAATTAAGTAGGTATTTTGAGAAAAACACTACAACATTCATGTATGTATGTTTTTCCAGGTAACTGGTAAATTTTTCATTTTCATGTACTAAATCTCCGTGTAATTTTGTTGACATTTGTTTTCACGACAAAGAATTTTACAATACCTAATTTAACGATTACTCTTTTACATAATGTATACAATATTGTAATAGTTTTGCCGTAAACGCTTTCACTGGAAAAGAAATGTCTCAATGAAGACTAGTTTAGTGTTTCTTTTATATTTTAGCTTTGCTAATATTTTTTACTTTAACTTATCGAGTGCTGCTACTCTCAGTACTTCTATGATCTGTGAAATACTTGGGATCCGTTTCTGCCAGTATGTGAACTAATTGTAATCGAGGCATCCTTGACTTAATATGCATGCCACTGATATATTCGTACTAACATGTCAAAATGACAACTGTAGGTAAATCCAAAAAAGGCGGATCTGAAGACAGAGTCTTAATATGCCGTCCTTTATCCTACGACGTTCATACATTACAATCCCAAGCAAAATCAGCCCCAAAAGCTTGTATGTATTTTTGATATCGATTGATTCCAACTTGGTGTCCAATTAGAAAAACCGATTCTGAACGGAATAAATACTTGATGTTTGAAAAAATCGTTTTATTAACTTCCTACCAATAAATGTTGAAAATGTTGTTCATTTTGTTAAAAACATATCTGACTTCGTCGTCAAAGGACAACTAATTTTTGCAGTACCCTTAATCGTTTACGTTGACAATGTGGGGGATACGATAAACTGAGTTTTCAGTTCTAGATTATCTTGAAAGTTATGAAAATCGGGCGTTTATCCCCAAAGCTTGGCTATATTTTTCCAAGTGTTTCCTTACCGTCCCTTCTTCTTCTAGTAGCTGATTTCTTTCCTGACCAAATACCTACCCTATAACTGCCTCTCTCCAACGTTTTCTTGGTCTGTCGCTTTTATTATTGAGATCTCGTTTTTGCAGACTATTTTCTTTACAGTTTTGTCATTTGACAGTTTCTAGATGTTTTTGCCATTGTAGTTTTCTCTGTCGCACCGTTTTATAGTTGTACATGAAGCTCGCTTTACTTCGTCCTATTATTCTTCTGATGATCGTTCTTTATTGTCTTCGTCTTTCAGATATGGTCACAGAAGAAATCTGCCAATTACAGGACTGCAGTGGTGGAAGTTTTTCGTTTCTACTGATGAGACGACTTGAAAAAAGTAACAAAGAAATGGTGGTTCCTACTGCATGGCTGTGGTATAATCTTGTTGAAAATACCTCATCGCCAATTCACCATCATAGAGTTGATTTTCGGCATACGGTTAAATGTGTGGATTTTCGGTGCTCCAAATTCGCATTTTTTGTGAATTAATAAATCCACTGACGCGCAACCGTGTCCCTTCGGTGAAATATGTTTTGTCTGATAATTTATTATCGAATGTGTTTAAAAACCCACTACAATATTTAGTCCTTTTCGGAAAATCATTTTCTTGTAATTCTTGCACATATGCATGTTAATCAATACGGATAGAGATCCAAATATTGAATTTTTGAGTATTGCTTGGCAAGTCCTATAACATGCACATGCTGCGCCAAATGTCTTATACTTACTGCATAGATCATCAAGAAATTTTAGAAGTGCATCGTAAATAACACATGCTTTTGTTTAACAAAAACAAAGTCGGTTTTCAGCAAGGTATTCCACCCATCCACGTCTCGTTAGTCATTCAAAAATGGTTTACCAATGAAAATATAAAATTGTTAACCATGGCCTCCGAAAAGTTCTGATTTTAGTTCTGTTGAAAATTTATGGGACAATATCATTCGTGACGTCTATAAGAATGGAAAGCAATATGCGACAGTTAACTAACTTAAACCCGCTAGTCTGAAGGCTTGGACTAATTTAGACGATAGACGTAATGTATTATCTTTTGCGGTTAGTCGATTTGATGGAGAAACTAGTAAGTATATAACTTTTTTAAACAAATAAAAGCTACATTAGTTATTAATTTCTTAAAATTTCGTACATTTATTACGTACTATCGTGGTAGTATTTTGTCAATGAAGAATTTATTAAATTTTTTTGTTTTTTTTTTTCATGAACTGTACCAAGTTAATATTTGCGTTTTCGTTCCAATACTTTTCACAATCATTTACCTAATTCGTTACTTTTATGTAAATTATGAAACCAAATTCGTGTTCGTGGTAACTTGTTTGTCCCTCGTCTTTTGTGTAACAGCCAGAAGTTTCTAATGTATACCTACAGCATATTGAAGAAAATATGATTTAGAGATGTTAACAAACCACACATGTATTTGGAACCATTGTTGGGAGTTGCTTGTGAAAAAGGAGGTAAAATTCGGTCACCATACAGAAAAAGTATATTTAGTAAAAATATCGCAAGTATGATTTTAGAAAGGTACACATTAAGTGGTTGGCAATCCGCGTAGCTTCTGAAAAATTCTGCACCAAATTACACCAACGGTGTTCACAAAGCAGTAGGTATGACATCATCCAACATGCGTCCTATTTTTTTATATTATTGTCCAGTCTAAACAAACAAAGTGGATAGGTGTTTTATATTCTGGTTTTGCTTGAAATTGGTTTTGCACAAAGAAAGTACATTTGTGATCTTTGAACATGCACACCTTTGAACTTACCAGTGTTTGACAAGTAGGAAAAAGGTCGTTTATAATGACCGAGTAAATATTAATGTTTATAATTAATTTAAAATTCATGATTTATTTATATGGCTAGTGGATTACACAATGTAAAAATATTTGAACATAATACCTACATATAATCATTTTACAAAATATTTAACACATATTTCTTATCTGTGATAAAATCAAAGTAAGGTAAGAATAAATTCAACAGACCAAAATGACACTGGAGTTCGTTGGAGTTAACTTTGGATCGAAGATTGTAAAACATTTTGGTACGTTTCAAAATAGACAGACCTTCTTTCCTTCTTAATCATTTCCAAAGTTCTGTCATTAATATAACGCTTTCAACTTTGAAACGAAAATCAAATAATTCAAATTTGTGTGGTGCAACAAGTGTTGTCTAAATATTTATGTATTAATTAATTTTTTTTTATACTTTTATAGAATATTTCTTAGGTAAATGTTGACGCTTTTTTATTATAAAAAAGCATATATGATATTACTTTGTATATGCAGTTTCATGACCTTTTTGCTTTTAATTAAGATTTAAAGTAACTCTTGATTTGTCTAATAGGTACAGTTAAAATTGAGAAAAAAATTTATTGGGGACAAATATCGTACTGGAGGGTGAAACTAATAGCAAAGATTAAGATGTCGTTAAATTTCCAAAACAATATAGGAAAGACGTTTTTGGCTCAATCTGTAAAGAAATTTCTTTATTCATTAATTTTCTAGTCGTCCTATTTAACGAATTTAAAAAAATAGTCGAAGGTTATTTCGACAGAACTTCCCTCGCTCCTGAAGTACAGTATAATAAATCCAGATTTTCTAAAAATTATAAAATTCCATTTTGAGATTTTTTTTGACGATAACCCTTATAAGTTAAAATAAAGAGATGTAAATGCTAAAGTAAACGTAAAGAAGTGTGCTACGCTTTTGTTTAAAGTGAGTGTTTCCATTACAAAATTTTGTGATGAGGCCATCAACATTTTTGCAAGGACACAAATATCAATTTGGGTCGATGTAATGTAAACTAAGGATAATAGAACAGTGTTCCTAAATTTCGGGAAAATGAAATGAAAAAAATGGTTTTCGATTTCCGTCTGTCTGTCGTCTCTCTCTCTCTCTCTCGTCTGTGTCGATTTTACAGACAGATAATCTCTAAATCTACTGAACCCATTATTATCAAATTTTATGCATGTATTATAAACATTATTTAGACGTTAAAACGCTAACCAAACTGTGTCTAATCATCCCCACCAACAATGGGATGACGTCATCTCAAAATTCTACGTAGTAATTAGGTTTTAAATTGTATAAAAATACAGAGTCCTATTCGTGTAGTTTGTAAGTCCATGTGGAGTTTTTACCCTAGACATCCAGATTTTTGGAAAAAAAAAAATTAAAATCGTATAACAACATTTTGCAATTTAATCTTGAATCTGCAAAACTTAATGGTTTTAAAGTTATCGTAAGCATGGTAAATTTGTATTAAAAGTATATATCTCCCCCAAAAAATTCATGTTATCTCAAAATTTTGCCAAATAAATCCTGTCTAAAATCACAAAATATGATGAGTCTATCTATACTCATGATTTATCATTGAATTCATATTTTTTAGAATTGCTTATACAGGATGGCTCAAAAAAAATTAATGAATGAGTCAATTTATTTTATTGATTAAAATAGGAACTTCAAAACCGAATGCTTTGAAATTTGCAGACGTTTTAAAGTTATCGTAGTCATGGTAAATTTTTAATCTAAATGTATCTACTTATCCCCCAAAAAATTGATGACGTCATCTTAAAATTTTGATAAACGAATCGAAGTTGTGTTTCAAAAACAGAAGGTACCATACAGTTTTAATCTGTGACACGCACTACAGAACAAAACAATAATACCACATACTTACTACAGTTGTGTCTTACCAAGTTATCAAAGAGATCTACAACTACTTAGGTTATAAATTTTGTGTGCTGTTTTACTATCTTTACATTGTCTTAAAGTGTAGTTTGGACTAAATAGTTCTATAGATTCG